TCCAAGATGTTCTGCAAATAGAGCCTCAGGTTTGATTTGTGATTTCAGTTTAAAACAATCCAGCAACTCTGCAGCTTCATCGTTACGTAGCAAACCTGTCAGACAAACTGTCAGGAGAGAATGACAAACAGTTCAGAACATTTTCAGCACCTATATCTCCCCACACACCAATGCATAGAAACATGTAGTTCGCCAAGTTTGAAGACTCGTCAACCAGGAATGCCCAAGGTGCAGTCATATTCTACAGGTGTTATGAGTGTGGGTAGGGATCATTTATGGAAAGAGGCACATAAAAGCTTCGAACTCAATGCTAATTCTGACATTTTGAATTGAAAAAGCTTCCTGGATGGGAAGCGAAATGTCTTCAAACTTGGAACCAAGTCCAGTGGATTGCTTTTTAACTTTTGGAGGCACATAAAAGGTCAAATCAAACGACAAAGTGTGTATTTAAATCAAACGGGACGTGTTAATTGGATCAAAGAGTAGATAAGAGGTTCTGTTGACCAACCTACGTCAGTAAAGTTAATCAATAATACAGAGTACAACATTCCTCCTATGTCTTGAAGACTGAGGAGGGTGTTTCTGTGATTACAAAACAGCCCTAAAACACAGAAGCTTCCTTCCACCCATCAAAAAAAAAAAAAGATCAGCGGAAAACTGTGGGAGTGATGATATGCACACGACAAGATCTGAAAATTAAAACACCAACAGGTTCCACCCAGCTGTCTGCCCAGTCAGAAGCTAAAATTAAAACAAATAAAATGACACCAACGTGCATAACAATAATAACTTACTTTAAAAAAGTCAAATAAGAATAATTTTGCCCCCATTTAGTTCAAAACCAGTGTCCAGATTTCAGGTATGAGTTTAAATATTTAAGTTAAAAGATTTTTTAGTTCCTTTGAGATTAATCTGGTCTGGATCAGAACCGGAACAAAGATTAAAAGAAAGAAATCGAGCTTATATTTTGACTTTTCCCTTTTAAGAAATACCATTTTTAATCTTTTCAATAAAAGGAGCAGTAAAACAAAACATGTGGAAAAATCCCTTTCATCTTGGTTTTTTCCCCACGTTTCTATCCTGTTTAGAAACCCTGGATTACTGGAGACGCCCATCCCTTCCTTCAGAATAATCCCCCCTCCTTAATGTTTCCAGGTGTGCCCAGGCACCTGAACACCAATAAAACTTTACAGGTTTAGTAACTGAATCATGCAACCTTTTCTAAATGTTTGAACCAAATGGTTAGAAAGACAGGATAGCCGTTCAGCACGTCGTTGACAGATCAGAGTATGTGACTCTGCTGACCGGACCGGCCGGAGGGACGCGTGAGTGCAGACATGTTCGTCCTGAAACGTCGTCACAGGTTGGGACAGTGGTGCAAGCTTTTGATAAGACGTCCACAAACACCACTGTGTCAGCAGCACAGAGCTCTGTTCTATTGACCATCTAATGAAGGGTCAATCAGACACTGTCTGAATCAACCACATCAAACTCTAATCTCCGTAAGAGGTTAGACATTGTGGAAAAAATAAACATTTACCTGGAAGTTTCAACTCATTATTTAGTGTTATACATTCAAGCCTCTCATTACATGTTTAATTTAACACAATAAGCAGCAAATAGGAGTCCGTTTTTCATTCAACATCCTTTTAAATGCCTTTTCCACAAAAACAAAAAAGGAGACTAAAAAATAAGTTACACAGCTATTTCGTATGGGGTTCCACTATCGGATTTTACATTACAAGATGCACCAATTAGTAAAAAAAAACAAAAACTGACATCAAACCCTCATATTTACTTAAATCACCACAAAATAAATGAGTATTAGGCTGATCTCTATTAATAATAACCTAAACACTGGATGAGCAGCAGATTTTAAAGTAGGTGTAGGTTAAATGAGTAAAAAAAAAATATATAGCAATAAATACATATTTAATTTCTCATTATGACATCGACCAAAAACTGTTTTATTTATTTAATTCTTACCTGTAAAACTCCAAGAATATCTTATACTATCTAGATTAGCATTATAAATGATACTAATCGAGATTAGTATCATTCATTCGTAGAAATTTGTTTACATGTTTATCCAACACAGCTGTGTAGTTTTACATATGTTCAGCTTTTAAAGAAAAATATTAGAATTGAATTAACCTCTTCATATCTTTAAATTTAAAAGGAAGAAAAATAAAGGTTTGTTTTACATCTTAATAGAAAGTTTTCCAATATCCACTTATTCTATCCATTTTCCTTCATAAAAATAAGTCTGCAACTAACAGTAATTGATTAATCTGTCTATCGTTTTTTTAAACTAATAATTAGATAGCTAAAGGTTCCTTAAAGAAAACTTTATACAGAATCTAAACCAGATTAAGCTAAAACTAAGCAATAAGAAGAGTTTTGGATAGAGCTTAGCGATGAAAAAAAAAAAGGAGGAATATTCATTTGAAATGTTTTTTTTCACAATTGTGGTTTAATTACTGTTCTGTGTGGTTGCTCTAGTAGCTAATGGCATATTTTAGAGTCTCTATAGTACAGTTAACAATCATTAGATTACTAAATCAGTCAACAATTATTTGAATAACTGATCAATTAAATTAATTCATCCATCCATTTTCCATCACGCTTATCCCTGCTGGGGTCGCGAGGGGTGCTGGTGCCCATCTAGGGCTGTCAATGAGTGAGAGGCGGGGTCCACCCTGTACAGGTCACCAGTCCATCGCAGGGCAACACAAGAGACAAACAGGACAAACAACCAGTCACACCTAAGGACAATTTAGATAAGCCAATTAACCTAACAGTCATGTTTTTGGAATGTGGGATTCAGCCCTACATAAAACCAGACCTTGTAAAAGAAAAAGAAAAACAGATAATTTGCAGCGAACAACATTTTTGACCATATTCTTACTTGTGTCAAACACAATTGACAAGAATGCATTTCATAAACACCCCATTTAAACTCTATCCTCTTTATACATACGATTTAAAAATCATATTTACTGAGCAAAATCATGACGTCTTCTATATCGAAAGACATCCGTCAGGATGATAGCAGCCTGAACAAACACTACACCCAGTAGTCACACTTAGGGAAGCAACTAAAGATTATTTTGCTAATCGATTAATCTGTCGAATATTTTTTTAGATTAATAATCAGAAAGCAAAGGATTCCATAAAGAAGCATTTTTTTACAGAACGAAACCAAGTAAAACTAATTAAATGCAAAAAATAAATATCACTTCACAATTTTGGTATAATTACTGCTCTACGTGGGTTGGTCTGTCGGCTAAAAGCGCGTTTTAGAGTCTTTATACTCCAGTTTACGATTAATCGATTACTAAATTAGTTGACAATTATGGCTATACTCGAAAGATTATTTCAGCTCTACTCACACTCTAGTTTTATTTCCAACTAACTACACTTATATTTCACTTATACCCTATAACCAGTACGGATAGTATAAAACGTTTTTTTAAACTTTGAATAGAAATAAAACTTTCCACCTAAACCAGAAAACAAACCTGCCATCGGAGGAATGGTTTAACAGATATTTTCATCACCTTAACATTTTCTAGTCCTCAATAATAGGATGAATGCAAAAGCTCAAATTGACACAAACAGGTTCATATTCTGTTGATATTATCCGGTCACTCTCTGTCAAAGATGGGGGTTCTGGAGTCAACAAGTCATTTCTATGGCATGTATATGTTCTGCCCAGCCACTGAACCAGGCAAGTCCAATCTGCAGAATGAATTAACCTGTGCAGATTGGGCATGTTGAGTCCAAAAACCCCATCTCCGCCCTCTGTGCACGTTTCGCTCTTATAGCATAAACAACTTCTATGTTTGTTTGTTTTTCTTTTTTCCTGTGATTTTAGATTTTTATTTTCATGCATCCTCCTTCTGGCATCTACTGGAGAGATGCAGATGATATAAAGGCTTTATGGACTGGGGTGCATTCATGATGGGGTTTCCTGATAGAAACTGGCTCACCACACTGTGAAATGGTTTTAACAAACAGCTTTAAAGTTTTATTGTTGCCAAACTTCTCCTATTTGCCAAGCAGCGTTTTGATAAACGAAAACTGTACATGACAGAAATGAACAAGGATGAAAATTAGATAAAAACATGAAGAAGAAGAAGAAAAGTGGGCACAGAAGAAACAGATTAAACCCAGCCCTCTGGTTCAGGTGGTATCACCTGATGAGTGTTAGCTTTATCCTGAATAAATGATTAATCCCAACAAAGCAAACAGAAACAACTGATCATAGAGGCGTTGTCCTCCTCCTAAGCTAAAGTGAGTCAAACTGATTTTAAACTAATCATCGGTCTACTGAAAACAGCTGTTTGATTACAGAGAACTTCAATAAGATCCAACCAAACATGCCCAACGCTACACCGTTTGATCCAAGCTGTTTCCTTGGAAATAAACACACATCTTTGCAGCAACAACTAAAATCAAATCCATGACAACAATATAACCCACAATATAACCATCACCCCGACGAAGGTTTCCTAGTTAAAAAAAACGAAAGGCCTGCAGCCCATTTAAGCATTTCTAGTTAAATGTTTTTGTCAAATAAAATCGGAACAAATAGAGACAATGTTGTGACAACCATGAGGAGGAATGACACCAAAGATCCAATAAATAAAAAAAATACATTTTATTTCCTTCATCAAATTTTCAATGCCTTTTAAAAACTACTAGCTAGTGAATCAGATAGCCAAACAGAGCCTCGGTTGTAAATTTAAATGTCTAACAGACTATGAAGCGGTTAATTCACACACATTTGATCAAGTCTGCTTATTTGATTTACTATGGTACAATCTGGTTTAAAATAAATATAAAAAGTTCCAGCAGCACAAAAAAAAATCCCCCCTGAGCTAACGAGCTAAAGCTAACTGAACACCACAACTTACCTGAACAATAATATGACAGCAAGCTAGCAAGCCTCGGATAAGAAAGAAAAACATTAAAATGTGTTACAGGAGTGAGAATACCTGTTAGGTTCTCCACGGAAACCCCACGAAGAGAAGAAGCTTGGTGACAAGTCCCTGTTTGCTGTTTCCTCCAACCAAATAGTCTAATACAGGTGACACGAGTTGACTATCCGAGTCCACGTAGCTAGGCTAAGCTACTAGAATGCTAACGTCGACGTTAGCATACAACTACTCTCTGTTTTATCAACCTTGCTGAGTGCTTGGCCACTATCTCCGGATTTTCAGCCTGTCAGTTCCCTTAAAGCAACCCTCTTGAAGCGCACACCTTTTTAGGTCTGCCAGCAAACGCCCCTGCCTTGTCTATTTCGAAGTGTCACGGGCTCTCAGTGTCTTCTCGGGGATACCAAAATAATCTGAGTTAAAACGGCGAGAGGAGGAAGGCCATCTTGTTGACAAGCAGCTGCATAAGCTTAGCAGCCAATAGGAGCGCAGAGTCGGTGGTATGCCCATATATGGTGTGGGCTCAACGCCCTCCCTCTCCGCTGCCCCACGGACGCTTCAAGCGGGCCCGCTGTGACACCCCAACATTTAAAGGTCACAGGTGCAGAGGCGTAGCCAGAACATTTTAGTAAGGGTGGCCAGGCAATAACCAATGCACACTCAGGGGTGGCCAAAAGTGGATAGGCGCCAAAACCTCAGGGTCAATCTACACCAGGTACACCAATTAAAAATGAGCGGTCCGAATAAAGAATATACGACGGAGTATTAGGGCCACACATGAAAAGAAAAAATATTTTTGC